CGAATGCAATTAGTAATAAAAGTATTGAAGGAATAGAAAAATTGAATTTTTTTTATACATATAGATCCTAAATTATTGGAACTTTTTGCAAAATTAGATTAATTTTCACAACACGGTTTCAAAGAAATTATTATTCATAACAATTTTGCGGTATGTATGTATGGCTCAATATGGTATATTCTGCCATAATAATATATTTATATTGTTTAAATAATGCATATTTATCTTTTTTAACCATACTTTTTTATTCCAATTACTTTTTCCGTTTTGCACTGGTAAATGTTTTGTTATATAAAGTTGAAAAATGACAAATAAAGTTAATAAAATATTGAAAAAGTGAAAAATAACTTTTTAAAAATAAATATATTGTATTATCTACCATTAATATAAGTTATCATTAGATTTACTACACGTTTGGCGCAGTTATGCAAATATTTCGAATTTGGGGGACTTTTGTCGACGATTGTATCTCAGATACATTCTTATGTAGATAATCGCGTGTCGAATAATGATATAACAGACGTTAAAAAATTCATAAATCGCGATTATATTTCTCCCAATGAGAAATGACAGTGGAATCGACGTCGAATTGACGTCGAATCGACGTCGAATTGACATCGATTCGACGTCAAATCGACGTCGATACTATTATCATCTCTCACTGGGCTTGTAATATAGAGAGTTAAGTAATTCTCTTATCAATAGTCGTATCAATAGTATACTCTTCATGTAAAGTTATTTTTCACATGTCGAGGAATTACTTCATAAAGATGACGAGTTTTAACGATACATTTAAAAAAAAATACCGAAAATTTGGAGTATACTTGGAACAGCACAATGGAAATACGAGCGAATGAAAATTTAGATGAATATGAATACGTGAATCTGAATATGCAGAATACATTCGACTGGAGCTTATTTTCGAGCGACTTCGATAAGTAGACAGTGAGCCAAAGATATAGCTGGATAAATAAGAATCTCTCCAAATTCTATCCGAACGTGCCAGAGTCCTTATTGGATTTCATTCCAGCTTCCTTTTGTCAAGAAGATTGCGGTTGGTCACCAGTGGAGAAACCCGAACGATTAGATATGAATAAGTACCGTAGAGGGCAAAAATTCGTGCAGAATAATTTGACCGGAATTGTTATGAGTTTAATATTGTTGCTCTTACCTGGTTATACATTTGAAAATAATCTAAATCCAATTATCCTGAGTGATCGCACACTGTTAAATCTATAGTGTCAAATTTAAGCTAACGTGAGTCGCCACTGCTCCTTATACTAAATATATCGATCGTTATTTTTTACCAAAACGATAGTTATATATGATACTGTACCGTGTCAATTTGACACTATATAGTGTCAACTTGATGCTGTATAATGTCAAATATAACCATTGTTTTAGTATAAAATAACGATATGATTGAGTAACAGCGGTGGCGACTCACGTTAGGTTAAATTTGATTTAACTATCATCACTATATATCACTATAGATTTAACAGTGCACTCATACGCCGTACTTAGGATACAAAAGGTGTGTCATTCTAAAGACTGATCGTACAGATCTACAGACTTATTGCATATCCGAGTAAGTATCAAATGATTATTATACGTATCAGCGTAAACGCGGAAACCCAGACAATATGTGTGTCTAAAAGACGTTGTAAAGACATCATAAAGACGTCTTCTAGACATTGCGCGTTATGACGAAATGTTGTAAGAATATCTTTGATGTTATGATATACAAAGGCACACCGTATTTATATCATTGAATTGATACGCAATTAATACAGTACATACGCAAGTATACAACAATTCTGTATCCGCATCAATAGATATGAGGGTTATTATTTTTTCTCAATCATATAGTTGAATGAATCGATTACATAAAATTGATTGAATAAAATCGATTGAATAAAAAAAGCATCTGACAAACTATTGCCCACTCTTACTAATGTTCCCCTCATGTGTCCAATGAAACAGTCTATCATATAAATTTCATGTATCATTATTTAATTCTCATCAATTTAGAAGATATTTGCCGACCATATATCGGGTGGTGAATTTACTGAAGAACCCTGGATCGAAGGAACATCTGCCTTCAAAGACATGCAAGTTGTACGTAAAATGCATATAACAATGAGAACCAAACTATCTCAGCATAAACATGAATGATACATGAAATCGACAAAGCGCGCAAACTCGCAAATCCATGGTGCCCAGATCGTAAATTGCTTCTAAAAGATTTTGCTGAGGCGTGTCCGTTCGAGAAAATCGGACAATGTTCTTACAAATCATTTATCAATCTGCCATTCGAACAGAAATATATAAACAACGCTGACATGACAGTGTTTCAATGCTGCTTCGTAGGCTTTGTTTTACTTTATCCTCAAGATATTGGTCTGCACGATGCAACCGATGAAAATCTTGAGGATTATTGTCATCTTTGGAGATGATATCTTTGGAGATCTTACGGATATTATCTCGGCATAAAAGAGGAATATGTCTGCAGTGAAACACACCACACATTCACCCTCATTAATCTGGATCCCCCACCATCGAAAATCAAATTCGCGATAGGTAAAAAATTTAGTGCTCTTTATGTGCTAATTATTTGCTAAAAAAAAAATTTTTACTCCAGCGGTTTTCGAGGAAAAAAAACAAATGGGGGGTCCAGGTTAAGATAAAGCTGGACCCCATACTGAAAAAAATAGATCCAGTGGTGCTACAAAGAAACTAAGTACACACAGATTTTTTTTGCTCTTTAGTTGCTCCAAGATATCGTAAAAAAAATTCGAAAATTTAATATTTAAAAAAAAATATCAATATCAGCGGTCGCGTTGCAAAAACTTACGCGGTCCGCGTCACACTACCTCGCTCGTAGAATGTCGTAAGAATTAGTTGCTCGAATGTTTTTGATGGCAAATTAATCCTGAGACTGTATACTATTGAATCGTGCCCAAATCCGATTTAGTTGCTAACTCTAAAGTGCAGAAAACAGCCATTATGTCGAGCGCGCGGTCAAATAGCGCGCTGCGATAAAACAATTCTGATATGACATGATAAAGCAATTCTGCAGCCGGATTCGGATTCGGCGTAAAAAATTACATAAAAAAACATTGTTAAATCCCAATCAACAAAACCATGTAGGCCTGTGTAATCGATCTTGCATAAGAAACAAGGCAGGACAATGTGTCAATCAGTTAGTCAGTATTTATTAGATATCATATCTTTGCGAAAACAAAACACATGCGTCGTCATATCATTTTCTATGCACTAAAGTCAGACTAAGTACCGATTAATTTAATAAGTCAAATTAACTTATTAAGTAATATTTATTTTATTAACACAAGTACTTATTTTATTAACACAGAATCATTGATCTCTTTTCGTTTAATATACGAATGATTCGAGTATTAGAGATGTACTCAGGGAACATAAAAATATATATGTCTACTGTATTTATATACAGGGTGTATAAAAAGTCCCGGACCTCTTAAATATCTTAAAAGGTAAGCATTTCTGAGAAAAATGTTTCATACAAAAATTTTAGGGTTTAAAATAATCTATTTATTGACCTTATCAGTTTGACCTTGGGTGGCGCTATCAAGGTCTGGTCAAGGTGTCAAATAAATTTTTTTTTAAAACACCCTATTTTTTATTTCTAGAATCTAATAGCTGGTGTCAAGATGATCGAGCTTTTCAAACACTATAATAAAGCTTTTTTTTAATCAGTATTTTCAAGTTATGAGATTTGAAAGTTACAATACACAATACTTAAATCCCTTTAAGTTACAATATCTAAGTCCAATGTAAGGAGAGAGTAACAGAAGCGTAAATGAAACTTCTAGGAGGCAAAATTTGTAAAACGTAAAAGAGGCGTTTACGCTTCGACTTACGCTCCGATTTTTATATTCACCAGGTAAATGCATCATTGAATCGTTTAATTATATTTCCTACATGTCTTACAAATCCATGG